TACTACTACTACTACTACTAATAATAATAATAATAATAATAATAATAATAATAATAATAATAATAATAATAATAATAATACTTCTTGGTTTGATGTTGAACTTCTTGTCTTGGATGCAATCTTAAGCCGAATGGGCCCTTTTCCGGGGGACGCACTGGTAGCTAGAGGACTGGGAGAAACTTTTTTTTAGGTGGATTGCTTGGTGGGTAGTACTCATGCTTGTGAGTGCCAGTATCTCATATAAGGCAAATTATACAACAATATGACACTTGATGCACCGCTGCAGAGATTGTTCAAAAACAGAATCCGGAAATGGGTTGCTTGCATCTTGTTCCTCAGTCAGCTGTTATTTTTGTGCTAGTTCTCTCTCTCTCTCTCTCTCTCTCTGCCTCTGTGTGAAATAACTGTGCCTATAGCATGATTTTACACCAGTAAGCCTATGATGTTTTTGAATTATCATACTTCAATCTTTTTTTTTGCTAATAATAGAAAATATGTTAAGAAGAATAAAACAGAATAGCTTAAGAGTATTATTTGATTGATAGTGCCAAGACCCATCCATCTGGAAGCAGTGGGGAGCCAGGGTCCTAGGAAAGAAACCTGGAGCTGGAGGTGGCTAGGAAAGCTCAGAGAGGGTCATTCTCTTCCTCCACGCGGATCAGCCAGTCTATCCTGTATTCCTAGTTTCAGCTCCTTAATCTTCTAGTTTCTGTGTGTGATTGGATTTTATGTCCTAACTGTGTGAAACAAGGGGAAGACGTCATTAATTTTAAGGGTTAATGCAACCTGCAGGAAATATAATAGGCGTGAGGGAGGTAGAGTTTTCACATCACTGGAGACGGTTTCTATCCGAACGCTGTGCATAATTCATGTTCCGATTCTGCCTTCTGATCTTAAGTCAGCCACGACGTGCTTTTATGAATTCCCTTATCTCCCCACTACCACCTGTTGGTTAATTATCTTCAGAATTTCTAATCACTGCAACCTTTGGCATAATTAACATCCAATTGAGATTTAATTAACAGGGTTACAAGAGGGCCAAACTACACATTAGGGCAGAGAGAGGGGTTTGCATGACACTCAGACTTGGCTCCCCCAGACTCCTGCATCATTTCACCTGCTACCCATGGAGTATGATAGTTGTGTTGTTGTGTTTCCCTGCTCCTTGCTGTTACATAACAGCACTGATGTTACCGTTGTTGTGTTTCTCAGCTCCTTGCTACCATGGATAATGGCTTGGTTAGTATCACATCATCTTACTAGAGAAACCATGGATAATGGCTCGGTTAGTATCACATCATCTTACTAGAGAAAGCAAGAGGAAAACACAACCTATCGATGTGGATTTTGGTGGGTAACCTAACAAGCAGGACTTTGATCAAGTTGCACCGATGGGCAACCTAACAAGCAGGACTTTGATCAAGTTGTTGTTTCACTCCCCATTGGGAGTTCCTGCTATAAAGTTCCTCCATGACTGGCAAATTGGTGGCAGCCAGTTGAGTCTGGGATCTCGTATTTGAATTACTTGCCTTGCTCGTCAGGTAATGATGCTCTGAGCGATTGTGGGTAACAATTAAAATAATCCCTAGACATACCTGCCATTCAGTGCATGGAACATTGCTATAACTCACTGCTGTAATGCTGATCAGCAAAACTAGGAAAGTTAGTTTGAGAAAGTAGTTGTCTACCATTATGGTTCTAATGTAGTTAGCTATTCCTATAGTTTTAGTTTTTTAGAAGTAGCACTTGGCTTTCTCATTATCCAAAGTAACAAAATTAGTCACAAAAAAACCTAAATACAGTAGGACCCCTCTGTTGGTGGGATTGGTATCTTCATTTTCCACAGTCTGAAAATATTAAAAATATTAAAGGAAAATATCCCCAAAATATGTATTTCCACAATGTATTTACCAGAATGAGCCACTAGAGGGAGCCAGAGACCACGCTATGTATAGGGTTCGCTATTATACGCGATTTTTGGCATCTGCATTTTTTTTAACCCATCTCCTGCGGAAACAGAGTCTAACTACAATAATTGTATAAAGCGATTTTTGGCATCTGCGGGTTTTTTTTTAAACCCATCTCCTGCAGAAACAGAGTCTAACTACAATAATTGTATATGTCACTAGCCAGTGGTACAAAATATATCTAAACAGTGAATTCATACCCACTGTAGCTATCAAATATCTAAACCTGTTAAAGTTACACCACAAAAGAAGTAGCATAGGACATGATTGCCATGTAATGTACTGATCACCTTTTTGGGAAAAGGAATTAATTATAAGTTGCTCCAACTCTGTTTGTAGGTTCCACAGTGCTCTGCGAGGGTCGCAGCCTAATCAAGAGCAAACGGCTGTTATCTTGATCCCTTCTGCATTGTTCTGGGCAATGCATTGTGAGGACTGTGGAAATGTCTTAAGTCCTGGTTTTGCCTCCTTGCTTTAGTCCGAGAAGGCAATTTCAGAGATCATTTCGGCCCCACGCTTCTGCAATTCCTAACCATTCATGTTGGGATCGTTGGTGGCGCGAGATCAAAACTAGCTGGAATGAGTCTTGAAATACCTGTCTCTTCGCTGGTTCCAGATTTTCCATTTTTTCCTAACCCCATCCTTTTGCTCCCCCTGTCTCTTTCTTCCCTGCTTTTTTCCTTTCCTTCCTCCCACCCCTCCCACCAGGAGGCTGTGAGGATTGCTGAAGATGTCCGATAGTGTGGATACGGAAGAGAAACCACCAGCCCCTCCGCTAAGAATGAACAGCAACAACCGCGATTCTTCGGCACTCAACCACGGCACCAAACCGCTCCCCATGGCTCCAGAAGAGAAGAACAAGAAAGCTCGCCTGCGCTCGATCTTTCCGGGAGGGGATAAAAGTAAAGTATCAGACGCGCGAAGGGCCTCCGAGTCGTTCCGGTCCTTTGATTTCACCACTGCTTTCCTTGATATTTTTATAAGAGAGGAAAAGGGTGGGGACGGACCGTGGACAAGAGCCATAGGCCTCTTTTAGTCCGTTATTTTGAAATAGGGGATATTCCCATTTCTCTTGGCTGCTATTCAGGTCTATTAAGACACACACCCGGCTCTCCTGAGAAAGCAGAAGAAAAGAAGATTTGGGGATGTTAATATTTCAAATTCTGAGCTGGGAGACTGGGATTCAAAGAGTACATTGAGATTTTTGGATAACACCCAGAGGAAACAAGGGCTGGAACCCAGTTGCAAATTGCAACTAGAGTAGACCCATCCAATCAATGGGATGTTTGTACGTGTTGACTTACAATTCAGCACTCGATTCAGGGGGTCTACTGCAGTTGGGACTTTCGAGAATAAGCACCTTGATGTGGATGGAAAGGAAGTACGAAGCACTGCTGTGCCTCAGGCGGCAGAAGTGTTGGGCTGGCCCAGGATCAGAGTCAGCCTTCATTTCGAGCAGTGTGGTTCCCAAACTTGGTTCCCCAAGACTAAAACCTTGGTTCTTGGACTAGAACTCCCAGAAGCCTTCACTACTAGCTGTGCCGGCCAGGATTTCTGGGAATTGTAGTCCAAAAACGTTGTGGGAACCAAGGTTGGGAAGCACAGCGTGTCTTAGAAGCCACGCATCAGCCTTCACAATCTGGCAAGTACGAGATGCATGGGGAATATACTACCTGTCAGCCTGCACAGCTTAATAATCATGCTTTCTGGGAACAATGGGAATTGTAGTTGGAGATAAAGTGCTAGGAGATGTACATGGTTTGGGTAAGGCTTGGAGTGTTCCAAGAAAACTGGTTAATCCATTAGGAAAAAAAAAATACCCGCAAGGCATAGAATAAAGTCAACCAAGCTGAACTTCTAGAAGCAGCCAGGAGTTGGATTGTAATCTTCCCCATAAATACAGGACATGTTGATGATGGTGCAGCCAGTCCTTCGCTGTTGAGGATAAATATAGCCATCTCTTTCCATATTTAATTTACATGTTAAATGGCATTCTTCAATTGAAGATATTACTTATGCAGCCCGTTAAGGAGAGGCTTCGCCGGTGATGTATGCCAGCAATTCTTACTGGTGCCTCAGCCCTTGTTCTCCCATAAACAACTATAAAGGAAAACACAGCCTGCTGATGCCTTTAGATTATGTATCAACATTTTAGGCCATGTACAGATCTGGCTTTCCTTCCAGTGTAACTCGGCAGCTCTTTGAAAAGCCCAGATTTCTACCACCGTTGATGGAATGGAAAGGCGTATGGAAATCAGTGCTAAGTTTGTTATTTATTGTTCATAGGTGTCCACATTGAAAGGATTTCTGCCTAGCGCCGTTTGAACTCCACTATTTTATGATTCTATGATAGGACACCTTTTGCTGCTGGAAATCGAAGGATGAACACAGTGTAAATTTTAGAAAGAGGATGATGGAGATGATAGGGAAGCGATAGAGCAGAGGCCTGTAAGGGTTAGGGTCATGTGGTGCAATATTCCCTTGGTCTAATGAGTACTGCAGTAAAAATCATATATTAACTAAGACAGTGGGGATATTAGAATTCTGAGCAGAAACTCCAGACTGATTATTATTTAATGAAGATAGATGGAGAATTTGGAATCAGTTCGTGCATTTGGCTGCCATTCTAAGCCATGGTTTGTTTTAACTAGGGTTTTGTTGCTTTGACCACAAAGAGTCCCATAGTTAGACAAGCAAACCACAGTTTGATTTTCCCTGTGTTTGGTCTGATTCTCTCCCAGACCTTTCAGGATATGAAGCTGTGGGAACAAGCCATAGTCCTGGAAGTTAGACAAGCAAACCACAGTTTGATTTTCCCTGTGTTTGGTCTGATTCTCTCACGGACCTTTCATTGGCTCCCGATTCAGGATACGAAGCTGTGGGAACAAGCCATAGTCCTGGATTCAGATGTAACGACAAGCCACGGTTTATACAATTTGGAATTTGTAAGCTAACAAGAAATGATAGCTTCTAGCTCTGGCCAAGAGATCATGGTTTGTTTGCAGGAGTGGGTTCAGATACAATGGCAGGGCAGTATTAAATGAAACACAATCTGGCCATTCTATGAGAACTTGGCTAATATTTAAGGATTCCAGAATTTTTGTAAATAACATTTCTAGTTAGCTTACAGTAGCTGAAATCCTGTTGCGTAATTTATGCCAGCATAAGTGGCTGGGTCTGAAATTATTACATCCTAGGTGTTTTATTGACATTTGCTTCTCAGTCCCTCTTTTGTACAAAAGAAGAAAGTAGGTCTGCAGAAGGATTAAAGAAATCTGATTTTGCTGCATTGTATGAGTTTCAGTCAAATCAACACTTGATTGATTAGGTTAGATGTGGGCAGAACTTGTGTCTGTTTTCATTCCACTGCCCCAAATCCTCTTTCGTAGTTACATCAGCAGAAGGGAAATGGCATAGCTTGTAGCAGCTAATTGCCAAGAATCTGAGCAGGAGAAGAGCCAGTTAGCCACTCTGTTACGCCTTTTGCCTTCTCCTGGCGTAAACTATGGAACAGGATTTTGGCATTTCCTTAATGTGTAAGTTTGTTCTCCCTTGTTAATGAGCATAATAGCAGGTGCTTATATTGCCTAGTCACCAGCGATGCTTTCAAGTAATTGACATGCCCCTGCTTAGAGAAACAGTACACAGTAGGACCCCCGTATCTGTAGGGGATTGGTTCCAAGCCCCCCCACCGTGGATGCTAAAAAATGTGGATTATAGTGAACACTATACATACCATGGTTTCTGGGTCCCTCTAGTGGCCACTTGTCTTTAGCTAAAATATATATTTTTCTTTAAGTGTTTTTCATATTTTCAGATTGTGGATAAGTGAATCAGTGGATACTGATCCTGCAGAGAAGGGGGGGTCCTACTGTACAGTTAAACTTCAATTCTGTGTGTGCTTACCAAACTCAGTGGGGCCTAGTTACAGGGAACATAAAAATCAAGGATTTTTTTTACATCAACTTGATTGAAATCACGATTTAAATAATAATAATAATAATAAAAAGAAATGGTCACAAAATACTGTATTGTTTTTAACATTTAAATTGTTAAGGAGCGGCACCATTTCCTTTGGGCTGAAGAGTGATGTAACAATTCTTTAAACCTATCAGTTCAAATGTCATTAAATGTGTTGGGTTGTGTAGCCAAGGGTCCATTTTGGTGGAGTTTTCCCCACTGTCCTCCAGGTTTTCAGTGCCTTGCTTGGAACAGACCAGACAAGGAAATTTGCGAATGAATGGCTGTGCAGAAGAATAAGTGCTTGTTAATGTTTTGCCCTTAGCAAACAAGAAGAAGGAAAAAGAACGCCCTGAAATCTCTCTCCCTTCAGATTTCGAACACACGATCCATGTGGGGTTTGACGCAGTCACGGGCGAATTCACAGTAAGTTGCCGTCTTGTCCTGTACTTGCTCCCCCTGCGGACTTCCTTGGCAAAACTCGCCCTCTGTTTGCAGCAGTTACTTGCATGCCGTGAATCCGTGCATGGGGGGCGCAGTGCCAGCTGTGAGGTTCAGAGAACACACCGCCATTATTTCTACCGCATCACATTGAACGCTCCACCTCTGGCTCCACAGTCAGATACCGAACCAGCTTAGCTAACCAGCCAGCCTACATATCATATCTATGTTGACGTTATGCAGAAAGCGCATGGGAATGGGCGGAGGACCCAGGCCAGAACTCTAGAGTATAACAAGCGTGTATTGGAAGGGTGTCTCATAGATCAGTGGTCCCCAACTTATGGCCTCCAGATGTTCTTGGACCACAACTCCCAGAAGCCTTCACAACCACCTCTGCTGGCCAGGATTTCTGGGAGTTGTAGTCCAAGAACACCTGGAGGCCCAAGGTTGAGGACCACTGTCATAGATCACTTCTGAATACAGTAGGTCTCCTGTATCTTCAGGGGATCAGTCCCAAGTTTCCCTGCAGATGCTGAAAAACATGGATTATAGTAAATGCTCTGGGAGGCAGTGGAAGACAGGAGGGCCTGGTGTGCTTTGGTCCATGGGGTCACGAAGAGTCGGACACGACTTAATGACTAAACAACAATACATAGCATGGTCTCCATCTCCCTCTAATGGCCGGTTCTGGTAACTTCATCTTTAGAAATATATATTTCTAGGATTTTTTTTTTTAAAAATGTTCAGACTGTGGATAAGTGAATCACTGGACACTGATCTCATCGATAAGGGGGTCCTACTGCATCCTCTACCTTGAAAACCCTCAAAAGAGTCACTAGAAGTCAGAATTGACTTGATGGCCCACGAGTATGACTTCTACATGCGAGTAACACACAGATAGAAATATATATTTCTAGGATTATTTTTTTAAAAAATGTTCAGACCGTGGATAAGGGAATCACTGGACACTGATCTCATGGATAAGGGGGTCCTACTGCATCCTCTACCTTGAAAACCCTCAAAAGAGTCACTAGAAGTCAGAATTGACTTGATGGCCCACGAGTATGACTTCTACATGCGAGTAACACACAGACTATCCATTTTGGCCGCATGGAACACAGGCAGTCAGAATTACTTAGACAATGTCTCTGTGTGAGTGTTGTGTAGTTTACTGTAAATTGGCATACCTCATTTTTTCACCCAAAGGTTGCTGGTCATAGATTGTGGACTGTGAAAAATATGGGAAAAGACCTCAGGATGGTTTGTGGATTGATCCCGTGGGATATTTGAAGGATAGCTACTCATTGTTGATCTATAAGAGATCAACATAGATCTGTAGTCTAGAACGGAGGTTGTAGACCCCATGTCTCTAACATTTCAGATACAGTTGGATTCTGTCCCACTTACCTGTCAGCCTAGCAAGTGGTAGGGGATGATGGGAATGACAATTATTTAGTGATGGGGAGGTCACAGATGTCCCATCCTGGGTCTTGCCTCTGCAACCCCCAGCATTGCTCACCATTGGAGATTCTGTCTAGGGCTTACTGCCCCCCAACTTCACCCATGCCAGGTCAAGTCTCTGAGCCCTCAGGTTAACCCATCACTTCTCAGACGGGCAGCGTGAGATCTGCTCTAGACGCCTTGAGCACTGGGCCAACTAGCGTTTCGTTGGCAGCTTCCTACCCACCAAGATGTGGCGTGTCATCTGCTACAGAGGTGGTCAACATGTCGGGTGAAAGTGACCACAGCTGGCAAGAATCTCTGCGGCAAACAGAAGACCTTTAGACCTCAATGTGGTTTCAACCAGCTCTATAATCATAATCACCCCATCAGGTTCTGTGCTTCCATGGGTAACCCAGATGTTCTTGGACTACGACATCAGTGAGCCCTCAGGTTAACCCATCACTTCCCAGATGGGCAGCGTGAGATCTGCTCTAGATGCCTTGAGCACTGGGCCAAAGTAAAAAAAAAAAACATTTAAAACATCGTTTTGCGATCTCAGTAAAACATCGTCGTTCTGGGAGTTGAAGTCCAAGAACACCTGGGTGACCCAAGGTTGGGAAGCACTGCCCTAGAGGAAAGAATTCAGAGCACCATACCAAAGTTTGAAGCACAGTTTTCTTGACTATGTAATGATGGCCATTAAACTGGTATTGAACTGCTATAACTCTGCAGTGTTGTTACACTCTCAGACCCTGAGTCTGGAAACACAAAGAGGGATTTACTGGTGTGACAGAGGAGTTTGACAGAACACCACCCTGTTCATAATATGGCTCGTCAATCCAGGGGACATGTCTTTCCTTTCCAATATGCTTTCAGTAGGCTTTATACATGCCTTGGCATCAACCTGTCGGCCACATTTTCCTGCAGAAAGAAAGCAAATTGATAATACTGAAGGGCTAAAATGGAATAGCTGGCTGGATAGCTCAGCGGTTTAAAGGATAGGGACCCAGAGGTTGGGAGTTTGATTCCCTACTGTGCCTCCTAGGAATAGAACCAGCCTGGGTGGCCTTGGACCAGCTGCACAGTCCCAGGGCGCCCTTAGAGGAAAAAAATTGCAACACACTTCTGAGTAGTCTACCTAGAGAACCCTCTCCAGGGTTGCCATAAGTCAGAATTGAATTGATGGCACACAATTATTATCATTACCAAGGAAGAGCAGAATTGATTAAACTTTAGTGTGGGCTCCTCTCCCGGAGATTTTATTTTATTTTCCCCTTGAGAATTGGAGAGATGCAGGCAAATGACCCAGAGGGTCATTGCGATGGAACCCCATCTGAATGTATTTCTTGCCTCTGCTCTCAAGCAGGCTTGAGAAGACAGCTGCTAGAAAATTAATAAAAATTCAAAAAGAACAACATTTACTATGCATTTCAAAGGCTGGTAAGATAACTGAAGGAACATCTCAGCAATGGTGTCACAAGCCTCTCTGGTGCCCTTCTTGGAGGCTATAAAGAGTCTAGGACTGACCTCCTGAGAATGGTTTTTTTTTTTGAAAGCATATATTCTTGGAACATACACGGGACAACAGTTTACGGGGCTTTCTGTCTTTGCTCTTGGGAAAGTACACCAGTGGAGCATGCCCACCTTTGCTTTCCACTTACTGTAGGTGAGAAAATCAGAATAACTTTATTTATTTATTTATTTATTTATTTATTTATTTATTTATTTATTTATTTATTTATTTATTTATTTATTTATTTATTTATTTATTTATTTGTTCATTCATTTATTTATTTATTCATTCATTCATTCATTCATTTATTTACTTATTTATTTATTTATTTATTCATTCATTCATTCATTCATTCATTCATTCATTCATTCATTTATTTACTTATTTACTTATTTATTTATTTATTTATTTATTTATTTATTTATTTATTCATTCATTCATTCATTCATTCATTCATTTATT